CATTCCCGATTGACTGACATGTCCCACTGGCTGCCTAACAGCCGGCTTTAGGAGATGAGGTTAAATTGTGGCTACCAACAAATTGCATGCTTGAGTTCCTCTGCACCCCTCTGCTATCATCCAGTGTAATGTGAGCACACCAGGCAGATCCCTCTGCAGATCCTTCTCCTCCCCTGCACTACAGCTCCCCCACACAAAGCCACAGAGACCTCTTTCCACATCCCTCGCCACCAGTCTGGCCTCTAAAGTGGTGATGGGCATTACCGTGGCTGAGCCTCTGTGGCTTCCCAGAGCATCCTGCAAAGTGCTTTGTGTTCCAAGTGCTGCTACATACACATACACACCAGTATACTTAAAGCCCCCCCACAAACACACTCTGCTCCCACTCATTCCTGCTAAAAAACATGGCAGAAATGCCTTTATAGTACAAACATTCACCTGATTTCATAACACAATACTTCAGATTTACTGACAGCATCACAAAAAAACATCAAGTGAGCATAAACAGCAGCTTTTATAGATGTAGCTGGTGTAAATTTTATAACAGCACTATTCATATATACAAGGGTTCATGTAAAATGATATGTTTAAAGCAAATATTTATCACTCAAAGAGCTATTTGTGGGAACCGGAAATGACAAAAAACAAAACAAAACAGAGAATCCAAGATGCAGCTAGTGATGCAGATAAACTCCAACAGGTCCTTTTAATGGGTCTAAATATGCCAGGGAGGGGGGGACAGTTAGCAAACCATGAGATGACAGATGATGCATCCTCGTATGCTGCTGGGACAGGCCGAGCCATGTTGACATAAAACCCAATACTTCCTTACAGAGGAACGGGGCCAGCTTCAGCTAGCTCCTTGCCGAGCACTAAAAAATCCCAGCAAGCTGAAGCAATATTATCCGACTTAGTGTTTCTAACATTAGATTTGTCTCTCTGTAGAGGTCCTCTTTTATTTACCCAAGAGCAGTGGCTAAAGACACATTTTTATCCTTTTTAGGGAGTATTTAAAAAAAAAACAGAAAGTATGGCTGAAAGTTTGAAAGTCTCGCACAAAGGCACCCACAGATCAGAGCTGCTTCTGAAATACTGTAGCAGGACTGAGGACAGTCTTTAATTAACTACAAAACTACAGAACGGGTTGACAACACAAAGTACGTCTTCTTTTTTTCTTTTTTTTTTTTTTTTTTTTTGGTGTGCGTATGAGCGTTCACAAAGTGCCAGGCCACACGGGAGTGCCCTAGAGTGAGTAAAACACACACACACATACTCGGTGAGCTAACACAGAAACCCAGCCGTCAGCATCTATCCGGCACACACTGCTGCAGAGTCCCAAGCACAGCTAATTAAAAAACAACAATTTCACAGGAGGGCACTCCAAACATTTCTAAAAAGCACCTCTCAGCACACCGGGGGATCGTCCAGCGTACATGGGAGGTGAGACAGGTTCTGGGAGCTCTGCTTTTATGGCTTCATCACTGCTGTGTTTTTCCTACTACTCATACTACCGTGACCTGAATTTAATTTTGCTTACGGCGCGTGAATTCGAAAATTGGGAAAAATCTGCATGCTGATGTGTTTTGGATAAGTTACAAATGAAACACTCTAAAATAACATTTTGCAAGACAGTTAAACTTTATAGAGCATGGAGGAAAAAAAAATCCACTGTGGAATGTGAGTTGTTTTTTTTTAATGCATCAGCAGGACCCAAATGTAGGCAGCATGGTGTATAATATAGTTAGTTAATGTTATGTTTTGTAGATGGAGCCCGTGGCAGTTTCTAACAAGGCAGTCCATTACAGGGGTGTTGTCCAACACTTCGGTCAAGTGATAGGCCTTATTACATGGCTCCTTTCAAAGCATCTGCTTGGTTAGAGGAAAGGTCTCCCCGGGGAAAAGATCTCCCTCTTCCTAATGATGTATAATTGACCTCCAAACACCAGGACACAACAAACTCTCTCGGGGTGGTGTAATTCCACTCTACCCTTTTACATACCGCCCGTCTCGTTCAAGCTTGTTCCTCCTCTACGGCTATGGCTCCCGTCCAACTGACAGCTCTGCCTATTTACCTTCAATTCTATCAAACTTGCTCTGAAATATTCTTGCAAAAGGTGCCACTGTATTGCTGTGTTTGTCCTCTTCTAAAATATACAGCTCCTCTGGAAAAGAAGCCCGACATCTGTACATTTGAGATTTTTTTGGATCAAAAATATTCCTCATTCACAAATTTCCCATCAAGACAGGGACGATAAACACGGGTCAGCTGCACGGCAGAAAAAGAGGCTAATATAATCCAATCTTGTTACTATATAATTGCACTATATGGAGCAGGATGTGTTGAACTGTGTTGGTGGGAGTTTTAATAACACAGTACACAATAGTTTTCCCCCGTCTGCACTTAAACCTGTTCCAAAGGTGCAAAAAAAGACATGCTTGCCAATTCCTTGATTTATTATAGCTAGTGAGAGCTGATTACGGGGCATGAATCAGTTGCTGTTGGAATGTAATTAGGCACGTAGACCTCTGTAAGGCTAGGAGCTCTCTTCACAGCCCAAAGCAGTTTGTGGGCTGACAAATGCATCTTAAATGGGTGTCATAAAAGTCAAAAAGGTGCCAATTACATCTTTAAGTATCCCATCAATGCAAATGGAATAAACAAAAAAAAAAGGGGATACTTGTGTCTGTGTGATGGAAGGACCCTCCAGCTAGCATTTAACCTGGGAGGGGTGAAAAAAAAAGTGGGGGAAGGAGGGTGAAGAATTAAAAGATGTGTGATGAATAACAGTGTGTGAGAGCAGGACGTCGCCCAGCAGGTTGCTGTGTTTGGCTGGGGTGATCAGACTTGCCACACAAGCTCACAGCATTTAAAATGTAGCAGGGAAAACGGGGGGAATGGTCAGTTGTGCACCAAATGTGGTACTTCAAAAGCAAAGCAGAAACTAAATGCTAAAGGAAAGGAGAGAGTATTATTTGGAAGAAAAATAGATCTGTCTTTGTATGTTTATGTCTGTCTTCTTATCTTTACACACACCAAACAGATTAAAAAAAAGAAGCAGCAATAAATGGACAGCGCTGTAACAGGCATGAGAAAGAGATCCTCCTCTCTGCCGGACTGTCTCAGCTTCCAGCCACCTCTGAGCCGTGACGCCGTGGCTCTGGTATCCCATAGTTACTGCTATGAATTTTCCATTGTTATCAGCCGACTACACTCCTGTCACAAAGCTGGATGAATGGCACACATGGCAATGGATGTAACTCTTTGTTGCTTGCAAGGCATCTAGCAGAGAACCATAATGTCCCGGTAATCGAAGTAGAATTGTTAAAAAGGCCGGACACAAAAAGCTGAAAATTTAGTGACAAGCATGAAAAGCGCTCATGCGATGAGAAACACAGGGCACCCCAGGGTCCACACAGGCCAAACAGCAACCCTCAGCATTGCTGTTACTCCTGTTCCTTAGCCTCGATATTTACCTCTGTATACTGACATCACTGCTGCTTTTATGTGATAATTTACTAATTCAATTTACTAATTTATCTTACTCCATGGCTAATGGCTGCCATGCTACTTCCTGTCACAGGCCTTATTTAGAATGTAAAACTTTATTGTAATTCACAATAAAAACAAAAAACACAAGGGGCCAATTCCTACATTATTCTCATTTATCCATAATTTATTAAATTATTATTTTTAGTGGCTGTAATATTAATAATGCTGTTTGTTTTATTTATTGTGTTGCTGTAAATTTAAAAAATAAAATAAAATTAGCATTCTGCATTTAATCACGTTACTGTGCTGTTATAATAACACTCCAGCATTTTAACCCAAAATAAATTCGATTTTTTAAAGATGTTTTCAAATTGTGTAACTTCAATTTAATGCTAAATTATTAATGCCTTTAAAATTGTGTGTGTGTCTGCGAGAGTCACGCGTGCGCAAATGCCTAAACTTCTCATTATTATTATTATTGTTCGTATTTTTATTTATTTATTTTACTGAATCTAAGTTTGCGTGTTTAGCTCGCAGGCATGTGCTAGTCATACTGGGCAAAAAGAAGCGCAGATTGTTTTTCATTAAAGCGTTAAATTGATGCCATGCCGCGTGCAAAAACATGCCATATCCAATCAAAATAAAATAGAATGAAATAAAATAAAATATTAGAAAATGAAATAAAATATGAATAAGGTAAAACAAAATCTACAAAACGCGCTAAAATTAAATGAAGCAACGTTTAAAAAAAATATTTAAAGGCTGAGATTTACAGAATAAATTTGGGCTGTTCGGAAAATAAATCCAATCTGCGCCGTGGGCTCAGACTGTGTAAAAGACACCTAACAGAAATTATGATTTCCATATTTTGATTGCTGCTGGTGATGATGGAAAATGCCACATGATGCTATCAGGAAAAAACCTGACAGAGAGCGGAATGAAACAACCGAGACAGTCCGCCTGCACTTTCTCGGGCCTGAGTGGGATCACATTTTTTTTTTTTTTTGGTGTGTGTGTGTGTGTTAGAAATGCACTGGTCCCGCAGACATAAATGTGGAAATATCGTGGGCCACTGTGACAATAAGAGAGCCAAGCATATGACAATAATATATGAGCGCTAATGCGAGCGTGCTCCACAGCTCACACTCATTATTCAAATATTTGAAGGAAGTAAAAAGCTCAGATTTAAGTCCACTTGTTCTTGTTGCTCTTTCATTGATTTTTATAATTTTACAAGGATCAAATGTCAAATAAAGTGAGGCAAATAAAGCAAAGATGATAGGTTGAATTATATCAGTTATCCAAATTGCTGATTTTTCACACTGCTTTGTAAAAATGAAATTCAAAGTTGGCTGCGTTTTTACACTGATGTCACACACACACACACACACACACACACACACACATATATGGCCCTCAAGCCAGCCACAATCTCCACTCTTTTCTTTCTCAAATCACTGCACACCAACCAAAGCAATCTGCAGAAATGCAGGGAGACAATTGTGCTTACTGTTGGTAGTCGTGTTTGCAGTAAAGTTTCCTTTCTCTGAAGTAACAGCTGGTGGTGAGGGGCTGTTGACACACGGTGCACTGCAAACACTCCTCGTGCCACGACGAGTCGTTGACTCTCATCAAGAAGCGGTCGGAGATGGGACGCTGGCATCCTTCACACACGGATGGATGATGACAGTCAGTCCCTGGAAAAACGGCACAGCAGTTGGGGCCCGTCAGAGACAGAGAGAAGGCCCGTGTCAAACATTGTGAAAACTCTACAGCGATAAAGGCCTATAGTCTAAAGAAATCAATTCAGGTGTGTGGGATTTAATCAAATAAAAAAGCAGGTTTTAATGGATGAATTTGACATTTTTACACCAACAAGGCCTCCAGGTTACATCACTCCCCTTGCCTTTGGATGGCTGGGTCGCTAATGGTGCGTTATCTTCGCACATACATGCAAATAAAACTACATTTTTCATTGTTATCAGTGGTTTTCATGCCTGAATGTGAACTTTTCATGCTCCAATGTGCCAGGAAACAAAACAGCAGTGGGCATGCACACACAGTAATGGCATCCAGACAGGAATAACAGTGTTTGACCCCAGTTCACACTCATTTGCTGAGGTTTATACAGTAAAATAAAAGACTCACCGAGCATGACTCCGAGCGTGGCTTGTCCCGATCGCAGGGGATGATCTTCAATTTTTATGCCGTCCAGCATGATGCACGTCTCGGGCTGTTCTCCCGCGGAGAGGCGCTCCAGTGACACCAGACCTGTTGCAATATCCATATAAGAACACGGTCAGACTCGACAAGAGAATCCCCGGGCACACAAAGTTGGAGGACAGGGGGCTGAAACCTGTTGAAACCGCTTGAGTTCCGCGTGACACACAGCCTGCAGCTCGGAGGAGGAAAAACTACAAAATGAGCTTTACTAGATGAAATGCAAGAGCTCGACTCGGATGCGCGCACAAGTTAGAATGTAAAGGCAGTGTGAGCCGGCTACACAGATCCCAGATGTGTCAGGAGAGACAGAAAGGACACAATAAAGGTGGAATAAACTCTCTCAACAGTCACCTGTTATAATTAGAGGACTGAGGAAGCTTTATCTTCTCGTCCTCAAGCCCGACGGGAGAACGCTGGGTGATTTCTCTTCACCGGAATAACAGTTTTGTCAAAAAGTCAGAAAAAGAAAAAAACAAAAAAAAAAAGTGACAACAAATCCAAAAATTGGAGAGAGTGTGTGTGTGTAGATGTCCCGGCAGTAACTCTTTGGAGGTAACAGAGACGGTTGGTTGGTTGGTTGTGCCCCTGTCGCTGCAAAAGTCTGAGATCGAGATTGAAGCGAGTGGATCCTCCCACTCCTGCATGCATGGCTACACTTTTTTCATTCCCCCCATTCACCGCCGTTGGGATGCTATTGGAGAAGAGTACAGTGCGCTGCACACAGTCCAATAACAACACACACATGGAGTCAAGCGTAAAGACGAGCACAGAGAGACAACTGATATTTTACACAGGCCTGGATTCACTCTGAAGCAACAACACCATAATATAATACATAATAACAACAACAACAATAATAATAAGTCACTACAATCTAATTATTACGCGTATTATGTCACGCGCTTTCTCAGAAAATAACACACTCTGCAATGTGATGTGATTATTTAGCAAATATAACTTAAAAAATACCAAAGCAAGACACAAACTTTTTCTATATTCACCATAAATGAATATTTATATTCCCGTCAGGGGTGGAAAACACATCCCAGCCTCACACACACCCTCTTTGCTCTTTTGTGTATTGTTTCTGCTGGAAGCTGCTGTCCCCTTTCAGCTGATGCACCTGGCGATCAGTGGTGATAACAGCGCTCTGTCCAGCACCGAGGTGGACTCTGTGCGAGCCGTGGCTATCCATCATGGGGTCAGAGGAGAAGCAGCAATAATAGTAATAATGATAATACTAAAAATAATTACAGGGCGGCCTGCGCTGTGTTTATTTTGCAGGTACACAGCAGCCATAAATCTTATTATCTGAGCAAGGAGCCCTCGTGCACATGAAAATCAGCCCAATGTGAGCAGGCCAATTTGAGTGAAAATCCCAAACTGCACAAATACGCATGATCACAATTATATATCACACTGTGCAATTTTACACATCTATATTATACATGCCTACATTTATTTAGTAAGGATGTGATTGAGACGTTTGCAGAGGCCTGTCTGAAAACACACCGTGCGCTCCTTCCCATGTCACACTACGTGAGAGGCTCATCGTCATGTTTGTCAGGTTCTTTTAAAAGCTATAGGTGCATACACATACACAGGCAGAAAACAGTGGACAGGACGCATGCAACACAGCTCAGCTACATGTGAAACGGACTGTAAAGCAATGTTGCTGTATGTTCAGATTAACTCATGGCCTTTATTATAATTGAAATAAAAATACAACCTGGTGCCTAATGAAGACATGAGGAGATGACTGACACTATAGCAACCATACTATTATTATTGTAAATAATTAGGCATGCTATTATGATAAGAATAAGTTGCTGGAGATTGTGTAAAGAAAAATATCAGTTATATATTTACAGAATTGTGAGATAGTCTATAGAAAGGAATAAAAGGCAAAATAAATCCATGTGTTTCTGCAGAATTATCTGAGTGCTTGCACGCAGCGTTTACCTTCAATCCAAAGGCCTTGCTGTTGTTTTTGATGTCCTTTGTGAAGCATCAAGGCGATGACCTGTAGCCCAGTTTGGAAAACAGAGAACACACTGTTGGCGTTGCCCTCTGCCGTTCACTCAGAGAATAGCTGAAGGTATCTAACAGATACAAGGGGAGCCAAACACAGAGGAAATTACTATTTTCACCTATTGTCACCCTTTTTTTTTAAAACTATATAACAATTACAGAAGTGTTTAAAGCACAAACAAACACAGTGTGAATATTAAGGTACTGATATTGTCATTAAGGGACACTTGCTGTGTTACAATCAGTCCATACCTGCCAGTCATGAAGTCATCCACCCCCGGCTTAGCCGTTTTTTTCCCCTTCTTCTATTTGCAGCCCCTCCATCAGCATGGGGTTGCTCAATTACCTCCTCCTCACACTTTATTGGATTATCTTACAACTACATTTGGAGCTTTGCGTTATCAATACAATATAATCAATACATTTTTTTTAAAAACATATAACATAAAGCCAGTGTTACCCCGCTTCTCCCTCCTCCTCCTCCACCTCCTCCTCCTCCTCATTCAGCAGTTATCGGCCAGGTCACTTGTGTGAATGAGGACATCAAACATTCATTCAATAAATCAATCCACCAACTTTTAGCCGGCGGTGTTTTAATGAGCCTCTACATGACAAGCCCTCCCTCGCCTGCTGCTATAAGGCAGGAGAGGAGGAAAGGAAAAAAAAGCGTTGCAGCAGGTGTGCAGCGCAGAAAGCAATGGGTCCCCTAAAGTTAAGTAATTGACTTTAAAGTAAGCAGAACTGTTGCATCCATCGGAAAGGTAAGAGACCATTATAATGCGCCATTATGGCAAGCAATGCACATTCCCGATGGCTGCTGGGATTTGGATTAGTTTTCAAAGTGAGTGTAGTGACTGAATATTAAGACGGATATAATGAGGTTTCTGAATGCAGAAAAAGAGCAATAATTTCGGGGGGGAAAAAAGCGAAAATATTGAGTTGGAGCAAAGTTGGAAATATGCGTAAATTTGCGCACTTTTGCCTGCTTTGGATCAAAGATAAGCAGATTTCACATTGATAAAGTTTAAAAAAGTTAATTAAGAAAACGAGAAAATCTTCTACGCGCAATTATCACTGCGTAATTATGTTATTGCGCATGTTTTAATGGATGCGTCATGATAAATAGGCCCGCTCTGAAAAGATTCACCACATTATGGCACAAATCTGACACTAAATACAAGAAATCAATCAAATTATTTCTCGACTTCGTTACATTTAAATCTCATCCAAACCGACGCATCAATCATATTAAAATATACGTCTAAACATATAGACCATTTCCCACTTTAATTACATTTACATCACGCTGTTTATAAGCCACACAGGATCCATTCATTTTCCAACGCAGAGAATAACTCACACAGCTCACACTGTGTCAGGCCTCACACCCGGAGGCTACAATCAATGTATAGTTTCATAATAAAAAATAAAATCACAGAAAATAATAATCCTCAACGTAAAGCCATAATATAATAAATATAATACATTTAAAAACGTGGACTGTGAGAAAGGCTGCATCTATGTCATTATCTTTTTTTGCTTGAGCTGAAATGTGAGCATTTTCAATTATGCGTAAAAGTAAAGCGCAAAGATAAGCGTTTTTTAAAATAAAATAGCTGAGAGAAAATGAGAAGAACACTTCACATCCTCAAAGGAGAAACTCAGCAAACCAAAGACATAATGGCTCCCTAAATTGCATGGCTAGAGGACTTTGATAGTTAACTCACTTTGATCTTTTAATGAGTGTTTCTAAGCTCTCCATGATGCTTGGTTGTTTTTTTTTTTCTCCTCTAAAAGTCGAATGAAAGAAAAAATTCAGGCTCCTTTAATTTGTTTGCAGCCGAGTTGCCCTTCAGTATCTGCACAGTTTCTCAGGTTAAATGCATTTATCGAATTGGGGGAAATATTGTTGGGCATTTTTCTTTTACCCCGCACTCATGGACGTTTGCGTGAAATCATGGCTGTGACTGTGAGAGGGGCAGCACTGCGCCAACGGAGCCGCTGACCGGTCGTGGATCAGCAGTGACGCGTATTGAAGGTTTGCACGTCGGCGATTTGCAACGACTCCACTTTAATTCAACCTTTTATTTTCCCCTCTTTCTTTCTTTGTTATTTGAGCTGAATCTTAAGTTTCTGCATTGTTTTAGTTGCGTTCTCATCTTAAAAAAATGAATATCATTACACTGTAATTCCACTCAGGAAGCAAACAGGCAGCACTGCTGTAATAACAAATAGAGGATGAGATGCAGGGCCCCACAGGCCTGAGGGCCCCTGCATATAAAGCTGCATAACAACTGGATTTGATTTTTAATTTCACTCACAAATTGAGTTCATCTGATTTTTGTACATTTTTAAGTATTGCCTATATGGCTTATTTATTTATTTGAGTTGTTTTAAATGTACAGATGCACACAGGATAAATACTGCACTTTTTCTTTCTTCTTCTCACTCACTCACATATTTCTGCTTTTATTCGCCTGCACCACACGGCCCATCTTATACTGAGACAGCCAAAAAAAATGATACTGCAGGATAATCCCAACTCCCCCAGGATTAAGCCAAAGTATAATACAGCACTGTCAACCCATGGCTAGATTTGTTTATGTTATGATTTATTGGATTCAGCCTTTTTTCCTTTCTTTCTTTTTTTTTTTTCACTGACAAATTTATTGAGTTCCTGACAGATGGCCTGACAGGGCTCTGTGTGACAGCAAGCTGACATACAAGTTTGAAATGTGAGTCTGAGAACTGTTTACCTGCATTTGTGTAGGTTATGTTAAGACACACAGAGCCAAACTGAGCTGTAATTTAATTAACATAAGATCTAATATTATAGCCCTGTTTCCCACCAGAGACTATATAGCACTAATAAAAATACACATACAAATGCTTAGACCTCTACTATTTATATGATCACTACTAACAATTAAAAAGTATGGCTAGACACTCATTTAAAGCTGAAAACCATAATACATATAATTATTAAGATTTACTAAAAGATGTGAGGATATTTGGTTTGAAACCCTTAAAATCATAAAATTTAAAAGGTGAATATTGACAGTTTTTGTGACCTTCTGAGTAAATAATTAAACTACTATAATTTATATGTTGCGTTATGAGTACATATGGACCTTTAAATTACAGGAATAGACCTAAACAATATCCAGTTATCACAGATGTAAACATTACTATTTAAAGTACTCCATCTTCTGTTGAACTCTATTTACAATTAGTGTGAGTTATGTTTATGACTTTCAAAAAAATCTGTTCAAGTAATACGGCACTTCTATCAAATAAAAGAAGAGAGAGAGAATGGAATAATAATAATCATTATAACCCTTCAATGAAAATCTGGTGCAAAAGAAACTGGCTATAAGCCATTTATGTTAAATGTATTAAAATTTCTTTCTCCATTTCGTTCAGATCACCACTGCATATCAAATCACACACTCTCCACAGGAACACTGTGGTGTCATCTGATGACACTGATCCAGGATGCAGTCAGATTTATGCACCTGGTCCCCTGACTCAGTATAAACACATATTACTTCACAGTTGTGTGTTGGTATCACCTGAACCCTCTGAAGCCCACTGAATTACAATATCACCCCCTGCTGGACACAACCACACAGTACAACTCACTCTGCTCCTCCACAGCAAAACTTCTTGTCACTTAAAAATACCTGAACTAAAGAAACACTCAAATAAAATACTGTGATGCAGGTAGAGAGAGCAGTAATGCAAGGTGTGAATATGTTATGTAATCAAAACAAAATGATCATTACTCTGTTCTTTCAAGTCACATAAATACTGTTTGTTATTACTTTGTTAAACTTTCAATGACATGCTGAATTTGTTAGTGTAAACGTTTCTTTAAAAATTCTACAAACTCAAACTAATTATGTTTTTATCCTTATAATAAATTATGTCCTTTTATGTATTATATCAATTATTTTTTTCTTTATCTTAAATACTTACAAGAAGGCTTTTAGATTAATTTGTATTTCATAGATTTCCTCATTTACTTGTTGAGTTCCTTTGTAAGTCTATCTGTAATAAGAATAACAGAACAATATAAACTATATTTGGTATTTTTAATATTGGCTTGAAATACTGTAAAATTGAAAATTCCAAAGATGTAAAAGTTAAGACATATAAGTCATCCATTTTGTCTTACAAAAAAATATAAATCTTTGATTATTAATGATGCAAATAATTTTTAATAGTTAATAAACATTAGCTGCAATTTATTGCTGCTGAAATACTAAAAAAAATGCTACTTTACCAGAAAGTTTAATTTATGTGAATTACTTTATTGTGTTTTAAATATAAGTTCTGCATCATAGTATTTGCATTTTGATTTGCATTTTGTCCATTTTTTTTCTTCTCTTGTTTTAAACTGTTGCTGTCATATATCAGCCACTCTGTCCTGATGTTATTGTTGTGATGAGCTGCACTGTACTTTTGTTAGGTGATAAAAAATAGTATATATTTAAGTTTATGTATATTGTTTTTCCTCAAATATGTTTTTATGCACATTTTGCATAATTTTGCAGCAGTAACTTACAATAACTTTTCACTGTTGGTTCAGTGTTCTGTATCTGAAATGACAACCATCTTTAGAGAATGTACTTAAAGTTACAGTTATTATAAATTGTTATTATTATTTAGTTTAAGTTACAATTATTATACATTATTATGGGGTAACCAAACAAACACAACAAAATAAAGTAAGCATACATATATATATACATATATATATATGTATAATGTATATATTCATCTTTCATTTCATGAATTTATTTGACTTGACAAAAACAACACTACATAAATTCTATTTTTCAAAATATCCTTGTCATTTTCTCATATCATTGTTTTATAATGGTGTGTTTTTAACTTTTCCATTTCATGGACACATGTCAAAAACAACATATTTATCCTCTTATCATAATTAACTTGCTATGATTTGCAGTGTATGACACTAATTCAACTTTTTTTTTCTTGTGGTACAGTCATGAAAACTAAAATGTTAATTGAATGAGGTCCTTTCTGAATTGTTTCATGCAATAAAAGAGAAAAAAACAACAACCTAATATCCCATGTTTTGTTAAAACCCAATGAATTCTTTTCGTTTTACAAAGGATTATCTTCAAAACATTTTAAAAAAGTTATTTGAAAGTTGGATAGCAGATGGTAACAGATGATACATTATGAAACCCAGCAATAACAAAATCCGTTTATCCTGTGATGTGGGGATCTCCCCTTCCCTTCTGTTTTACTTCACACACAGGCGATGGCCAAACAAGTCCGCATGTGAGCCTAAGCTGCTCAGACACATGAGGAACAACTTACTGCACGGGAATTTTAAAACTAAATTAAACCCTGGTCTCCAAATGTCTCCATGAGACTGTGACTTGTGACTTTGTCTAACTCTTGATGAGCGTCTAAAGAATATTAAATCTTTCCCCAACGAGGACCATTCAATATCCTTCACAGAGGTGCTGAGTGAAGGAGCTACACAGAAACAAAACAACGCTTTGCCCTTTGAGAAAAGGCTTTCAAAAACTTGGAAAGCTTTGGCTCCTGTGGAAATAAGCAACTGATATTACAGCGTCCTGTCACAGCGGGATACGTGGCATTTGTTGTTACATGACTGTTTTCATCATTAGCAAAAGTGCCTGAGCTCAGGCAAGATTTGCAGCGCCTTTCATCAGATGATCATGTTATTCAGTGGATTTGTCTCCACAAAAATAATGTTTCCTCTGACACAAAAAGTAGTGGAGGCTTCAGGAGGCCAGGAGCATGATTTTAGGATGTGTGCCATTAACAACAAGCGTATAGGCCTTTGCTACCCACTCCTCATGAGGAATGCATAAATTCTGTGCCTGTTGAATAAAGTGCATGTGCCTGCAGACATCTGTGGCTGAAGTAGTGAAAGATATTCTAAATACATCTACATACATACTGGCTGTGATGCAGAGCTTGAAATGAATCGCTCTGTTTGTATGGCAAACAGATATGTGAAGAATCAATACAACCTGGTGACGGCATCGATCCTGCATCAACAAAGACAGGAACAAAAAAAAACCCTACAAATAAGACATTAATTAAAATAAACAGCAATAAAGTCAAACATCTGTTTATGTGTTTTTTACTCAATCAAACACAATGGATGTGTTCTGTGTGTACTGAATGTGAGAGTATGCGCACATGTATGATTGTGGGTGTGTCATTAATAGGCTTCACTTCAGAGGAAAAAGGTAGAAATCCTCCAGATGTTTTGCAGCTGGGTGGATCTGGTAGTGAAGATCTAGACAGCATCTGTCACAGGCGAACATTTCTAATCTGTCCTGAACATTAGGCAGAGAGCACTAAAAACCCATCGCTGGCCGCATGTGCCGCTCAGTTCACAATGTGCTAACCACGGGCTCTGCAGCTCTGCCTCCAGAAAGTTCAAAATTAAAATGAGAAAGAAAAAAAAAGTAATATTTATCAAGCTGAGCAGAAGAAGCAATTTTAACTATTCCTCTATATTTCCTCTAAACTCTTTTTCTTTAAGCGGAGTGAAGCTGCTAAACTTTTTGAAAGAGAAAAAAAAAAGGCTAACAGGCTAACTGAAGTTATTAGGGCAGAGTGCCTGAGGCTAAAGACCAGCGCTTTGAACTAGAGGTCCAGCAGAGCTTAGTGAGGTCAAGATCTGTCACACAGCAAGCAGAACTAACATCACAATGTTCTGGACGGACATTTTCTTCAAAGAAGTTCAGCTGGGCATTAAAGGGAAAGAAACAACTGCACTGCAGTATTGTACATGCTTCAATTTACATTTTAGCTTCATACAATCATTTAAAAAGTGTAAAGACTTGAGTTCAGAAGGCTTTTTATAAAACGAACCTACTTATATATAATATATTTACTTATAGCTGCTGATGATTCCAGAAATTTCCTGTAAATTTAGACGATTATATTTCTAATTGACAATACATCTGCATTTTTGAGCTGACTACAATGTGTTTAGCTAACACGCTCAGTTTGGAATCTGTGGGAATCGCTCCAAGCTGACCTTGATGGTCTCTAGATATTCCCCTTCCTGGGTTCATGTGCCTAGTTACCAGTTGGTCAACCTTGTGCCCTGTGAACTGACCCTGTCCTCCCTCCGAGGTTTGAAAGAAAAAGAAACCCAATCCTCCGGGGAGCGCTCCGACTAACAAGAAAACTGCTGGCCCGAATCTCTCAGAAGTGCTGTGTTTTCCCACTGGACCACTTTCAGCTTAATAAACATCTTAACTAGCCAGAGGTCCCATGGGAGCTGCTGGGAAATCCTCTGGGCAGCCAGAGCTCAGGAGCTGGCCCTTTATTGCATCCAGGTGGCTGTTAAAAAACACTGGCCGGCCCTAAATGTCCAATAAAATGCAAGTGGCACCTTCAGGGGTGGACAGGGTCAGTGCACCTGTCTGTGGACGAAAGCTCCCCTCGCTCCCCCCTGTCCAGTCAGTCTGATGTCACACTCCAATGGCGTGCCCATGGGTCCAAGTGGTCAGGGGACCAAAACCACCACATAGAGATGGAAACTGACTACAAAGAGACATGCAAACAACCACAAGAAGATATAAAACAGCCAAAAATAGACACAAATGGACTACAAAGAGATAAAAATAACCATTACAAGACAGAAAACAACCAAAAATATATTAAACCAATCACAAAGAAACACAAAATAGCTGCAAAGGGAGAGAAAATAACACAAAAGACATACAAAGCGACAGCTATAAGATACAAAATGACTACAAGGAGACACAAACTGTCAACAAAGAGACGTAAAATGTCCACAATAATATGCAAAATGGCTACCGTAACAGAAAACAGTTGGAGAGGGACACAAGGCGACTAAATAACCACAAAGAGATGCAAACTGTTAACAGGGAGATGCAAAACAACCACAAAGAGATACAATACAACAAAAAAATGGACACAAACTGACTACAAAGAGATGTAAACAGCCACAGAGATATAAAACAACCAAATAAAAGATGCGTATGACCACAAAGAGATACAAATGACAGCTAAGAAACACAAAACTGCTGCAAAGCAAGGCAAAAAACAACAACTCTAAAGACATACAAAGCAGCAGCTAAGAGACACAAAATGACCACAAAGAGATGCAAAATGACCCCAATGAGATGTAAAATGGCTGCAAAAATAGATGAAACAACTCGAAAGAGATGCAAAAGAGACTGAAAAGATTCACTAAATGACCACAAAGAGATGCAACCTGTCAACAAAGAGACACAAAATGACCACAATGAGATTTAAAATGGCCGCAATAATAGACAAAATAACTGGAAAGAGATACAAAAGGGACTACAAAGATACACTAAATGACAACAAAGAGATGCAAAACAACCACATGTAGATATAAAACAACCAAAATAAACACAATCCAACTACAAAGAGATGCGAACAACAACAAAGACATATAAAACGACCAAAAGTAGACACAAAACAACAACAAGGAGATGCAAATGAGTGCAGGAAACACACAACTCCCGCAAAGGGAAACAAAAAAACTCGACAGACATGCAAAGCGACAGCTAAGAGACACAAAATGACAACAAAGAGATGCAAACTGTCAACACGGAGACACAAACAGACCAAAATAAGATGCAAAATGGCCAGAAAAACACAAAACAACTTAAAGGAGACACAAAATGGCAGCGAAGAGACAAAAAAGACAGAAACAACAAAGAAACAAAGAGACGCAAAAGAGCGACAGGAAGCAACTACAGGTTAGCACGGCTGTGTCTTTTGTAGTAACTTTGTGTCTCTCTGCGTCGGGGCATCTAGCTCTGATATAGGTGGGCTGGGGGCTTTTACTTGTCTGTTCCCAGGGGCCCACTGTCTCATTATGTGTCCATGGCTGTACCGGCCTCGTGGCAGCTTGTAGCACAAACACCCTCTAAAATAAATGCAGGAGTCAAAGTTCATTTTCCTTTTGTCATGATGTTCCCTGCAGATGAAGTAGAACCTATCATCATGCTAATGCCAAACTAACTGGTAAGTTAGTACAATGCTAGCTGACATTATGTCCAGTCACTTTCCGTTTGTTTACGACTGCTTCACACGTATGTGACCAGTGGCAGCAGCCTCCCTTCATCTGTCCAGCCTGCTTGCTGTCCAAAGGGAGAGTTAATTGTCCTGCAGGTTGTGGAGAGACCTGGACGGTGTATTGGGCCTTTGATCTGACTTGAAAGGAGTTAATTGATTTCTGTGTTACAGGCTGTGTTAGAGGGGAAGGGAGTAAAAAAAGAGATGCTTGCTGGTCATTTCACAACATGTGCAGAAATATCTGAGAGAGAGAAAGAGAGAGAGAGAGGGAGGGGATGAAGAGAGAGATCACCTCACACCCGACTCCATCCTTGCTCAATTACAATAATTTGACTCACATGGGCTGGCTGCCGTGGCAGAGCGAGAGAGGGGAGGAGAGCCGCCGTGTGGGGGAGGAGAGGGGATCCCTGCTCTGGGAGATCACTCATCTTACCTCTAGCTGAGGTACGGAAAGACAGATTTGATGTGGGGCTCCCCTCGGAGTGCAGCCTGGGGGCTTGTTAAGGTGGCGGGTATGGTGAAGACCACACGGCCAACCTCCTGCTTTATATCTCAGTGGGGCGCTCCAACATTTGATGACGTCAACATGGAATGAAGAGACTGCTGGAGGTAACTGGTGAACAGTGAGGTGTTGTGCTGCCTACAGCCTGTGTGTTTATGTTTCTTAGAAAATTAGTACTTGATTAATCATTAATTTCTCTTCCAAAGCTTTTCCACTTTAAGCTCATAGAAGGTTTAGCCTTTCCCAGCATGCACTAGGCTGAAGGAATCACATTAGGAAGCACAATTTATATGTTTCCTGTTTTATCTTGTTATAAAAATACAAATAATGTGAATGTTAGGCTTTACATCTTGTGTCAGTGTGATTTGCTGCATCACTTGCCTGTGAGTCTGTTCACCACGGGTCCAGGTCTGGTCTGGACCTGCTTTGACAGGTTTCCTGCCTTCACTCCTTCACCTCTCTCTGTCTCTGGTCACCCCAGCTCAGGGGGAAACAGGGCTGTCAGAGGGAGAGTGGCAGGTTAAGCCTGTCTTAACACAGCACCTCAAACCACCTCATAAATACAGGCTTCCTTTTCCAATTTCCAAGCGGCCCATCCACCTCTGTCTACATGCTTACACACTGCTCCATGTCATGCACCGGGGTGTGAGTTTAAAAATGACCATGGGACATCTGGCCGACTCACAGAGGGTGGGGCTTTGATGTGCTGCTCTGCAGTTCAGCTCAACTCGGGCTGAGCCGACTGAGCCAGGAGTGACTGAGGAGCATGAAGTGGGCCTGCTAGGTTAGAGATAGCAAGGGAGTTAAAAAAGATGCCTGGAAACAGACTCGCCATATGTGAAATGCTCCGAGACACACCACAGTCCTTAACTATTCCTCGAGCCTTTAAAGTGCTGCATACCTCGCGGACAAAAAAAGGTCGTTTCCATTTTAATTTTAAAATGCGGTCTCTGAAAATCATTATTTTCCATATCATAAAGTGGAGTGAAAGGAAAAGTGAAACCATGTGAGGCAGCTTTTTGATGGGCAATGCTGGGCAGGGCTCATGAGGGAGTTGTGGTTCTGAGAGCTCTGTGCCCATCTGGAGAGTTTGGCTATGCTGCTTCTCTTAGCATGAACGCAAAACCTGTGATTAGCTTCATCTAAACACTCACATCTGACCTGCAGGGCTGACATCAGACTCCACCTGCTGATAACCCCAACACCTTGAACGCTGCTCACGTTGAGCACAATACTGAGACGTTACAGTGTGAGGTGTGCACGCAAAGGGCCACATTTTTTAAGGATAAGGCTGGCAGTATTCTTTATTTTTGTAATTGTCAACACTTCTCACGAGAAGACTAAAACCAACAGTGTGGTAGTTCGTTTCTTAATACTTTCAACCCCAGCCTGTCAGTAGCACTCAGTCGCAGACCCACGCGCTCCTGCTGAAGACGTAAATCTTTTAAAACAGACCAAGAACATATACTTTTATTCAAAAATTTTAAAATTGGGAATTGCAGTTTTTAGTAAGCGTTACTGAAACAGGAAGAATGGTGCTTTTGTTGGGAACTATTTTAAGCTGCACATTTGGTGAGCTAGTTAGCATTTACAGCAGCAGGACAAAGTTTATGGAATGGACTCGAAATAAACTGTAATGAACATTTCACCAAGCGAAATGAGGCGTCTCATTGAGGTGACTTTACTAGTGTTTGTACAACAATGGAGCTCTGTAGAGGAATAAGACACTATATCTGAGTTTGGCTACACAGACAATTCGTGCTAGTGAGATCCCTCCGTTACTAGTTTTGGTCTTTCCATTGGATTTTTAAATACGATGAGAAATACAGAATATTGCTTTGTCCCTTATGTTGCTTGAATTAAACGTAGTCTAAACACTGAGATATAATAGTGATTACTGTTACTTGCAGCAAAGTTTTGCTCACATGTATAAGTCAAGAGTAGTGTTGGAAAATGGAGTTTTGTTTGTACAGTCTGTATCTGGGTACATATGGCGCACTGTATATATACACTTTGCACGCTGCAGGGAGGAGGGCTGTCGGAGCCTGTCACTGTGCTCTAGGGCATCACTGACATGAGTGTCACCTTCATGAAGGAGCGTGAAAGCTGTTCCCTCTGCAGAGGATTCCTCAGACCGTCGCTCTGATTCCAGCGGCAGAACAGAGGAGTTAACGCAAGCGCTGGTGGAGGGTTGTCATCTGCTGTACGCTTCATTAAACACCTGTGAATAACCAAAAGCCATTAGGAATTTTGGTGGGGAGAATAAAAATAAATAAAGACCTGCATTGTTAGCAGAATCCATAAGTTCACAAACTTAGCAGGAGGAGAGTCTAATTAACAACGGGGACATTAATCCATTAATGAGTTTCTAATACTAATTACACCTGCGAAAATGTGCAAATGGATTCCGACAATTTAATTAGTTGCAAATGACACATGTGAGCGGGAGTGAGAAGATAGTGATGTTTTGGTATCTGAGTGTAAATTCTGCTTCTGCATGTGGCAGCAAAGTGGCAGCAAGGTGTTGCTTAGTTTGATAGAGAAAAAAAAAGCACTTTAGTAAATAAAGTTTCCTGTTTTGGGTTATTCTCAGAAAATGTGGGTTTGTGAATATTAAAATGCAGCAGAAAAACTCCAGGTAATTGTCACTTTTTCTGCCTTTTTCTCTATACAGCTGTAGATAGAAGTAACATATTCTATAATTAACAATAACACATTCACAGAGCTGAAACTTAATGTTCTGTTCTACTCTTAAAGACCTGACTCAGGAGAGGAGTCGCAGCTGACGTGGGCGGGCGTCTGGGGTAAAAGGCTCCTGTGTCTCGAGGCTCTGCTCGTTGTTGCCGCACACTGCTCATGATGAACTTTGTGATGGAAAGATGCTTCTGCTGGAAAATGCACATCAGAGGGGCCTGTTTGCGTGTGATGAGGCTGCCTCTCCGTTTCCTCTTATGTCCTCCCTGACTGCTACTCACTGTCAGCATGGCCCTGTTATTCTGATGAGCAGAAAGTGAGTCACAGCTAACAGACTTTTATGAATTAATCTGTTAAAGGACATTAATTAGCTTGGTTTATTTGGAGCATGACACTTACTGTGAGGCTATCTGAGGAAGATAAGACAAAACCCAAATTTAGAAAAAGTCACTTTCAAGATAAATAAGTTGAAAATCTTCTAAAATTTAATATGCACAGTTGTACATTATCAAAAATACTTCAAATGCTGAATCACTTAATAGAATCCATCAAGGTTAAAAGACAGTAACACTTAATCTGGATAGTCTGAGATAGTTTTTTGAGCATTTCTGAGATTTCAACACATTAGATGAAATTCAACAATTCAGTTGTTTCACTTTATTCTGTAAATGTGTACGTCACAACTCATGACCATACCTACATCTTTTCAGAATAATTTAGTTGAACTTGAACTATTCAAGTTCAACATGTAGTGAATTGTAATTATAATCGAAAGATATACATAGATGTACAGACAAAGTGAAACAGTTGAATCTCAACTAATAAGCTGGTGACATGTTACAAATACTCTAAAAAAATATCTATAGGTGGAGTATCCAAATAAAGTGTTACCAAAGATACTTTTTTAAAAATCTTAAATTACATAATATACAGTTGCTATGTATCTAAACTTTTTTTTGAATTTCATTAATACATTATAATTTAAATGATTCCTTTAGGTCCATGAGTCATGCTTCAGTCCTCGTGGGTCCGTCTGCCAGGGTGTAAACGCTGGGTGGAAAGTTACACAGCAATGCTTTGCTCTGTGCTGAAGTTGTAGTGAAACTGCAAAGGAAGAAGGAAACAAAGACACTGATGAATACAAATATAATGTCAAAACAGCACAAAAATATCAGAATTTTTTAAATCATTAATACCAAAGCAATAAAGTATGTCCATTTCTAAAATGCTTGTAAAATGAAACTGACAATAAACAACTCTCTGAATGATCCAAACTTAAGTTGAAAAATGTTTTGAATTAATATTATTCTCTCAAGTTCAAAGTACAGGCCCAAAATTACCCCTACAGCAAAGTGATTAGATGGTCGTCCTGAATGAAAATTGAGAAAACACAAACAAACACTGCCCCCTTGTGGCATGGCATGGACATGACTCATGGCTACAATCTTGGCTTATGTGGCATTAAAAGGCAGCAAAGTGTCATTTTAGCTGTTTCACTGATTCTATAGTGATTTTAACTCTTTTCTATTAAAAAGATAAACTCTTGGTACTCTATTAAGAAGACACTTCTGATCATGTCCTATTTTGGTACAAACCCAAATATAAGAAATGGCAGTAACTTCATTCAAGGTCAAAGTTACTGCCAGATCACATTTGCCCCCATGACAGACCTACAGGCCATAACGTGACAGATCCACAGTAATGAATATTTCTTTGTTAATGTTGTTACAAAATTCAGATCTTCTTCTATTAGCTACATTCACTCAGTCAGTCCACAACAATCGCCGGCCTCAAATTACCTCACATGAAAGTGGGGTATACAGATGTTACATTAGGCCAAAGAGAGCACTAATATCAGAAATCCTGAGTTAAAGTACTAGAATCAGACTCAGAAGAGAAAAAGTTATCAGTGAATCCCCAAAAACATTAGGAGCTCCCAGAAGTACTCAGACATATAATTGAATATAATCCATTTCCCAAAATTTATTTAGAAATCCAAATCATGAAGAAATGATCAGGAAAAAGGCAAAGTTCAGAAGAAAAGTGACTACAGCGATTAAATAATCAATAACAACCACTATAATTTTTGATTAGTTGATGGCAAACTCTTTAAAAAATAATGACACAATAATGATTTTGTTGTGGATGTAGTTCCACTGACTGAACAGTGAAGTTTTCTAAGTAGTGCTCACTTCCCTGAGTTAGACACTTGTATTACTGCAGCACAGCACTAGGTGATGCTGTATGATCAGTGAAATAAGTTTCCAAATCTCCCACCAGAAGCCACGGAGCCACAATGGCTCAAACCGGGTTCTCTCGATCACAATAGCACCTTCCCTGATTCTCATCTACTTGAGGGGAAGCTGCAAGTTACCCACAACCTGTCACATATCACAAGCCTGTTAGTTGTGAAGAAATCTGGCCCCCCTACCACACAAAAATTCAGTCTCAACATCTGGCACAGTAAATAAATAATCCTGTGTGCACGTGTACGTATGTGTGTGTGTGTGTGTGTGTGTGGATGATGGATGGGGGAATGGGGTGTTATCAGGGAGAGCATGTATCAATGTCTGCCAGTTTTATACACAGGCTGACAGGACAGTGACACACTAGAACATGGGCGGCAGTCACCCAGACGAGCCGAGCTTCATTTCCTGTCCCTGCTCCACTGCCAAAAATATGTGACATGTTGTCTTCATTAATTCCACCTCTATTTGGAGCTCTCCCTCTCACACCTCTCACATACCCCCTGTACACTACTGTCCCTCCATACATTCGCATGGCAACGCACACAAGCATACGCTGGCACACACACAGATAACTCCCTGCAAACACTGAAAGCCCATCATACATAGGTGCTAATGAAAATCTTGTCATGTGTGCACACACACTTCTCTCCACCCTAGCATACTCCCTCTGAAAATCATTAGCCAGCCGCCAACAACATTTTTCAGCAGAGCAAACTACATAAAGATGTCACTTTAAATCGCGTACTAATTAACACTTAAAAAGACACAAATTAGATATGCGTGGCTAAAAGCAATTATAATATCCGCAAGTTTTGTGAGTCATTTGGGAAATGAAAAGAATGCCTAATTGCTGGAACCAACATCATCTGAGACATGGCTTAAGTGATGCCTGTTAGGAAATGGTCTTATCTACAACTGTGGCTGTGATTACAACAGTTTTCCTCAATTACATGTGCATATGTATAATTCTTGAAAGTACATCTCTTTCATGAATCTATATTTTTTAATGGGTTTAGAAAGAGGCAATTAGGTTGTGTGCTGAAAGCGCCTCCAGTTTCTGAAGAGGGGGAAAAAGCTCCACAGTGCAGGCATGGACAGTGACCTCTTCTGGACAACAGAAGAAGAAAAATGCTCAGCAGTATTAAGAAAACTGGGGTACAGAGTCATACTAAAAAACGCCTTTCCCTAAATGCAATATTGTGATTGTTTTGCTTTATATTACCAGAAAATGAGCTGCTGCTTGTGCAAAAGCCCTGAGTACAGAGAACACAGCAGTCATTATATTTATAGTGTAACACTGATAGAGAAAAACAAGCCAAACCGGACAAAGAAAAGAAAAAATACAATAATTCAGACACACCTCGCCTGTCCAGCGTGTTTGCAAGAATATCACTGACTATATTTACCCCCCCTTGTTCTGCAGATATCATCGTGGGATAATAATAAGAGGAGAGAAGTAAAAATAACACAATGGTGAGGGATGTTTCCACTTGGAAACTAATTATCAAGCTAAGCTGTGACTTCTTCCTCATCAGCCTGGCCCCGCCATTAATCTTGTGCTGTCGTCCACTTCACTAAATCCTGTGTGTTACACTATCTCACATTTACTTCATCAGCTCCAGCGCGGCTGTAATTAATGATTTCTCATGCCCCCTTCCCTTCCCTTCCCTTCCCCAGCTCAGCTCACCATGTGTCCTCCTGCTAATCACACTGAGGAAGGAGGAAGAGGAGAGGAGAAAAAGAGGAGAAAAAAAAAGACAAGAGCATATAGGATGAGCAGCCAGCCTGTCTCCACCCTGGAAAACACACATACATGTACACGCCATTAATACCTTCGCTGACAATGAGCTTCATTCAGATGACCATATGACAAGATGGCGACTCTGTGTGATTTGGATAGTATGTGACAGAAGACAGAGGCAGAGTGCAGAACAGACACCCAGTTTGATGAGGGAGTGTTTGCTCTGTAACACATTTCAAACCCAACAGCACCTGTTCTTTTACAGTGGTCTGTCACTTCCTGGCAGTTCTGATACCAAGATACCGTGCTAATGAGAGAGAAGGGGGGTTGTCACTCTCTTTAAAGCGCGCACGCGCGCGCACACACACACACACACACACACACACACACACACACACACACACACACACACATATACGTACAGACTCTCGTTCTTTCTCTTGCTCTCACAAACACATGGGCTGCACACAGATGATTTTCTTCCTACGAATGCCTGCAGGCTACAGTGTTTCATCAGAAATGGGGAGGACTTTGTAGCACTTTTATTTGCTCTGCATGATCTCTAACTTTTTTTTCCCGCTGCTGAAGATGAAGCTGATTGCAAACTTGAAAAAGTTTAACATGCAGAATCTGACCACAAAAAGCTCCCCCAAGATCTACAGCGCTGTGCGAGGTGCTAGATTGAGCTGTTTGAGAGAAGAATCGGGGAATAAAAGTCAAGTGTTTTGGAACAGGAGACGAAGCTTTTAGGAGAGAATGGCTGCCTAGCCTGGCCATGCTTTTATTCAATTGGGGCTTAGTGGAGCCAACAGGGCCTCGCTGTCTCAGACACTTAATTACAACCCCAAGACCGTTTGCTTTGCATTCTGGGCCAGCGGCGTCAGCGGCAGCCGAGCGTTGCAGCCTCTACTCACTTCCTCCTCGATCTCTGCCAGGGATTTGATCGTAATGCCCATTAAATTGACTTGCTGCATCTGAAATCAAAAGCAGGGAGAGGAGGAGGGAGAGGAAGAAGAAGAGGAAGAAGAAAAAAAAAAACGCACACACAAGAAACATGGCGGTTAGGCTCATGGCTAAGTAAGCATGCTTAAAATCTTTAATCCTCTCTCCCTCTCGGTGTCAATACAAACGGGGCTATAGTGACAACCGCCGCCAGCCAGCCAAATGGACTGCATTGAGCCAGCTCTGCCTGACTGCACGCATTCATCACTCAGTCTGGAGGAAAGGAAGGGAAAGGAGAGCAAAGGAAAGGAAAGAAGAGGAGAGGAAATGAAAGGAGAGCAAAGGTAAGGTAAGAAAAGGAAAGGAAAGGAAAGGAGAGCAAAGGTAAGGTAAGAAAAGGAAAGACAAGGAAAGGAAAGGAAAGGAAAGGAGAGCAAAGGTAAGGTAAGAAAAGGAAAGGAAAGGAGAGCAAAGGTAAGGTAAGAAAAGGAAAGACAAGGAAAGGAAAGGAAAGGAAAGGAGAGCAAAGGTAAGGTAAGAAAAGGAAAGGAAAGGAAAATAAAGGAAAGGAGAGCAAAGGTAAGGTAAGGTAAGGAAGCAAAAGAACAGAGATACTAGAAAAAGGATAAGGAAGAAGTAAAAGCAAAGTAAAGGAACAGAGAGAAGAGGAAAGAAGTGGAAAAAGGAACTAATGGTTGCATAGTGGGAAAAAGGACCTGATACTATGACCATAATGTGGCCCATACTACACAACAGGTTGCGGGACAAGTAGCTAAACAGTAACTCTCATGACTTGTCTCATATTATTTGTAATAAACCAATCATTTTGTGTTTTTACCTCTTTGGGGTTTTTACAAAACCTCTCAGAGACCACAAAGGGCACATCGTCCAGAGCTGCAAAAAAAAAAAGCAAGACAAAACAAAGTTTAAGGTTGAGAAAAAACATATATATCTCTTTACTCTTGATCCTGAGTATTTCCACAAGACTAAGCGTGGGTTTATAAAACAGCAAAGCTATCAACATCCCCAGCCACCCCGGCACCTCCCCTCCTTCCGTCTATGGAGAGAAGATGAAAGGCTTTTTTATTCTCCGTTGTATTTGAGCACCTCCACTCTCTCCTCCAACCCAGCCCTTTCCCCAACCCTCCTCCAGTTTAATTACTCTTGATTATTCCCGATTCCGTCTTGTCTGAGAGATGTTCACCTCGGAAACAAAGACACACTCACACAAGGCACAGAAAAGCGGAAAGAAGAGAGACAAAACATTCACCAGATATCAAATTTGCATGAAAATAAGCCACACTGTTCAGCCGGCAAAAAGTGGATTGAAATGAGGACTTGCCAAGAGCGTGGTGGTATAATTAGCATTTGACCAAACAAACGAGCTTCAACAGAGCTATAATTAAGCAGGCCTGTAATTAAGTGTATGCCCTTTATCATAATGATCGTGGTTAAAATGGTGTGATGGCTGCCAGTTGATTATTAATGGTGTAACCCCGTACTGCATGCATCCTGCACTGGAATCAAGGTGTCACGACTGTCAGGCTAGAGAGCAGCCCTTTGTTTATAAAATACATTAGGGCCCAAATTAACACAGGGTGACAAGGGACACAAAGCCTCTCGTTTCCAGACTGAAGGGAAAACTGCAGCTGCTCGGCTTCATTATAAAACTCCCAAATCTGGAGGCACAAAACTTGCTGCCGTTGGCTTCGACAGGAGCCCCAAATATCAAGAGGCCAAGCTTCCAACTGGTGTTCTTTTACCCACAGTCCATCAGGCCGCTGGCACAGGAAAAGGAACTCATAAATGTAAGCCAAGGCTGTTCATGAGTCATCGTTTTGGAGCTGACACTCCTTTTGGCCTTTCCTGTTCGCAGCAATATTCTAAAGTATGAGATTCTAAAATATCCCTCACTTTGACACTTATGTGACTTGCTTTCCTTTCTTCGTCATTACACAGATCCACGGTTTGGCACTTTCCACACAAGTGTAGTACAATGTGATCTTTGTAATCAAAGCATGACCCTCACCCTCATGACCACAGGGAGGCTTACTTAGTTTCTTGGCTTCCAATCTTCTCCCACAGTAAAAATGTAGTCCTAACAACTGCAGCCATGCTCGCAGCTCTGTTAGACTGTACTCAGGCACAGTGGTGCTTTAAGCTAAACGCTAATATCAATAACAAAAACACAATGCTAACAGGCTGATGTCAAGCAGGTTAAATGTCTACTATGTTCACCAAACTATAACTAAGAGTGATGGAAATATTATTAGTTTGGCAAGCATTTAGTCATAAACCAAAGTACTGAGCAAATTGAAATTTTGACCGGCTGATGATACTAGATGAAAAATATGGAGATCACCAAGGTTAGTACAATTCATCCTGAGGGGGACATGAGTGTTTGTAACAATTAATGGGAATCCATCCAATAGTTTTTGAGATATTTTGATAACCACAAACATGCTAGACTGCTACATATCAGCTCAAAGATTGTGGATCAGATGCTTGAGTCAAGCTTTCAAACTACGTAAACTGAAAAAATGTTGTCTCAAGCAGATATTATGTCTGATCCCTCCCCTCTCACACTTTATTTCAGGAATATCAGCTTTTGCCATCACACAGAGGATTTAGACTCCCACAGGCGGAACACGTAGAGCAATGCTTTTGTTCCTCTGGCTGTCAACCTATTAAATCAGTACTGCTTCCAAGCAACCTTAATGTACCTGGATCAAACATTGAATGCAATAGGATTTGATAATTTGTTGCACTTCATCCACCTTTCAAACTGTCTGATGTGATTTATAACATTTGTAGTATAGTTGTGTTGTTTGGTTAAATGTTGTTTTGTGTATTTATGTGAAACAGTGTGCATCCTGGGACTCAAGACACATTTCAGAAATTCTATCCTGATACTACAGTCAAATCAAATCAAATATCAACCTAATGGTGCATTTGAGAAAAAGTCAGGGAACCACAAAAGTCATAAGCATTAATCTTCTGGGAACTATGGATGTCTGTACAAAATTTTAAGGCAATCCATACAATAGCTGCTGCGATATTTCGGTCAAAGTAACGGACCAAAAGATCGTCACTGCCATCAATGGAGCCATGCCACTAGCATGGCTCAAAAAGTACAAGGAGAGAAAAGTTTAGCCTCCTTTTCCACTAACCCAAGGGCTGTGCAATGCCCCAGCCTTGACACCCATCTCCCTGAAGCACTGTGTTGTAGTAGTCAAGATCAGTCTTTGTCTCAAGATCAATCTCAAGACCACTCTCTGAAGGTCTCCGTCTCGTCTCAGAATCGGCTACATTTTTACTCAGTCTTGTCTTGGTTTCAGACTAAGAAGACTAAGGATTTTATTTCAAGGAGTTTTGAATTAAGATTCTTCCATTGATTTCCGCTCAGTGGTGTTTGTATTTACTTACCCATAAAAACCAAAGGAAAATTCCCTTACATAAAATTTTCCTTTGCAATGACATTTCTCACAGTACACTTTTAGATGCACACATACCACTGTATATATGGCATAAAAAAAATACGAATGAAGAGGAATCTTAATTTGTTTTTTGCAAGTGTTTTTATGGGAATGTGGATCTTTCAGATCATTTGAGGAGTAATTATGGTTTGCATGTTCCACATTTTATCATAAGTGTGTCTTGCAGCATGGGACTTGCACTGCTCTGGTCTTGGTCTTGTCTTGGTCTCGATACACTTTAGTCTTGGTCATGACTTGGTCTCGTTGTAGGCAGTCTTGACTACAACACTGCTGTAGTGCCTTTGGATATGTGGCTATCTGCAGCATTGAGCAAACCAAGGCAACTGGGTAGGTCCAATGACTTGTTTTAGCTCATAAAAACAAGTGAACAAACATGCACTGCTGTGTCGCTGGGAGCACCAACACCAGGCAGAGGCAGGCAGGGAGAATACATTTGAATCAATAGCCAGCAATGGGAAGCCGAGATTGTAGCTGCTGATGGATCTGCGTGGCGCGGACAGATGAATGCAGAGCTGAAGGCCACAGGGTTTCTTTATTGCTCAAGGATTACATTTAAAACCAGATCTCACTTTGTATTCCTCCACCATCTATACCAGAGAGGCTATCTTGCACCCAGATAAATGGAGAGGCGCGGGAGATGACTTGGTGGTAAGAAATGGATACCACGGAGAAATCCGAAGGTGCAAAGGGCAAAAATAATGTAAATCCAATCTTCTGACCAGGAATCCCTCTATGAAGCATGTTGTAGCTGTTCAAATGGCCAGGCTACACTCCATTAACTCATGACTGTACTGCAGAGCAGGGAATTGGGTAGTTATTTGGCATTTGGAGTATGTGAGTGCAGTCAATATGAAAACATCTGGCAGGAATTCTGGTGCAACGACTACGATGATGATGATGATGATGGTGGCGGCGGTGAGCGCAGAGGTGGCGTTAAGTAAGGAGGACCCTGTGGCTTGAGTGATTGTAGTGTAAAGAACGGAGTCAGCACAGGCCCCGTGTGGATCATTGCCTTATTAATGGCTCCGTCAGGTGCGATGAGCAATGGCTGCATTGTCATCTCCAGCCCCTGGGCACAGATGAATGGCTGTTTCAGGGCGGGAAGGGCTCCCTCGTACGCTGGGCTGAGCACTAATCCCTCACTCTTCCATTGTTGGATGCACTGTCACCCAGGACTTCAGCAGCGCCATACATTGCATTTCCAGGGTTCTAACAGACATGGCCATGCACACAGGCATACACACACACGCACATAAACCACACCGAGTTGCGCTCCCGACACTGACTGATGGAAAAATATGCGTGGGTGATCGAGCATACCCCATATTACCTGAACCACAACTCAAGAGTAACACTTTAGGAATGTTGATGAACTTTTATTTTACACTTCACTAATTCAGCAGAATTGCATTGATCTCTGTCTAGTATGATTACTTGGGCGAATCCGTCTCGCACCTGAATTAAGTGAGGAAAGTCACAGTCAGGGCAATAATCTCCAAGTGGGAATGAGCGTCTGTTACAACTTTTTACTCATGATTGAGCTGATTTCTATTGTTCAGTACCATAAAATAATAAGGAATAAGAAGAAAAGCTGCTCAAAAATGGGTTGGAGCTTTCTCTGGAACCTGCTGCATTTCATATTCCAAACAATTGGATGTTGCCTCTTCTCTTTGTGTAGCCAGGCTAGACACTGCTATACCTTTCCTGTCGGTGTGACTCTCAATTTGAGGGTGGATTCTTTATGCAGACCATGGAAATGCTATTCTAGTTGCAGACCCCGCTCTCTGTCACCTCTGCAGATAATGGTGAGTCGATGAACAGAGAGCTGGAGGAGGACCCCCTATGCCCACTCACAGCCCTTAGCCCCTCTCTGACATGAGAAATAGTGCCCAGGCCTGACAGCATCTCGGAGACATATTGTAGTTTATTTTGTCGCCCGGGCATGCCATCTGTGCCATTCCAATAGAGGGTGTGTGTTCAGGCTGCTGCAAGAGAGAGGGCGCGAGGCTCCGGGTCCCTCAGTAGCTCTGCAGCCACGGCAGGTCATTAGTCAAATTGCCTAATGAGAGAGAATACAAATGGCCCCCTACCCTGACAGGAGGAATTTTGGAGGTGTCAGAGCTCCTGACCCGTGCTATGAGAACAGATGATAGCGAGTTGCTATTTTCAGATTCTTTTAATGACTATGGCTCTATGAAACCCATTCTTTTTCTTTTATCTTTTTCCTGCTTTTTCAAGCCCTCTAGACAGACGAGTAGGGAAAAAAAAAAAAAACTTTTCAATGTATTAAAAATCTCTCTTGCAAAAGTGGAAGTGTAACTTTTGAATTATTTAAATGTTTACTGGGGAGTCAATTAATGTTGTAAAAAGCATATAACACTGATACTAAAATAGATC